ATACATTAAAAACAGCAGATTAAAGCTAAGCTGCCTTTCTCAAATTATTCTTTTGAAAAGATTCACCTGTATCCACTGTTATTTTCCTATGGTAGTGGTGGTGGTGTTATGTGCCATCAAGTCAGACCCGACTTATAGCGACCCCTCGTTGGGTTTCCAAGGCGGTATCACTATGGCAGCAGATTGCCCAACCTTCTTTCCGAGGAGTGGCTGGTGGGTTTGAACCTCAGCTTTCTGGTTAGCAGTCAAGTGCCTTAGGCATTATGCTACCAGAACTCCCTTATTTTCCTATAAACAGTCCTAAGATAGTACTTCTTATGGCCAACTCAATATCCTCCCAGAGACTGCAAAACTAGGGGTTCCAGGCTGGCTGGAACACTACCTGGTTTTGTGACTATGACCCAGTGACTTACCCTATTCAGGCTGTTTTGCCAACATAGACCGGTACATTAGGAATAATTTGGTAGAGTCAAAGTGAGCAGAGATGGGATGCAGAAGTGGCCACTGGAATCACCTCATCACTCTCCTCTTCCCCACAATGCTCATTTGCAATCTTGCAACATCCGTGCACTCTGCTCCTCCGTTAAGCATCACTGTCAATGTGCCTGTCTTGCTTTCCAGGCTGGAAGCATCTGGACAGGAGGTACCTTATCTCCATGTCCCACCTCACTAGTACCTAGCAGAGACTGGCACACATGGAGGCTCAGAAAATGTCTGATGAATGAAGAGAATCAAAACTTTGAGAAATTCTAGCTGAAACTAAAATAGAATCAATATTCTTCAAATCCAAGTGACTGTCTCCTCTGATGCCTCCCAGAAGGGTGGCAATATATCTTGGTCACAACTCTTTCACAAACACCTAACCTGAAGGAACACCTAACCAGCTTTCCCTCATTATCACTTTAAAAAAAAAAAAAATTATTGTGACTTGGGTGAAATTTTACAAAACCAATTGGTTTTACATTCAACAGTCCATACACACATTTTGTTTCATGATACCAGTCACATTCCCCAGTGTAACATCTCACCTCCCATTTCCTCCCTGTGGTTGCCCTTTCCCTGTGTTCTTGTCTATGCTTTCCTGCCTCCCTTTCTCCCTGTGCAAATGCTGCCCTGATCTCCTGAGGTTGACTGTTCTAAGGAGTGCATCTCCCTGGCGCAGGTGTTCAGTTCATTTGCCTGTTTATTGTTTAGCTGAGACTTAAGCCAGGGGAGTGAAATCAATTCTGGGCCCAAAGGGTGACTCAGGGCCATAGTCTCGGAGATTTCATCAGTCTCTATCAGCCCAGTAGGGCTGGTATTATGATTTTGAGTTTTCTTCCACGCATTTCTCCCACTCTATACACGATCTCCAATTTTGATCCCTTTCTGAGTGACTGGCATTGGTATCCAGGCACCATCTAGTTCTTCTGGTCTCCAGGTTATACAGATTGAGGTTCTCATGGTTTATTAGTCCTTTAGATT